AAAAGAATGAACAAGGGAAAAAAGAGTTAATTGACGCGTGTTCTGGTGCAATGACAGCAGCCTTCGTTAGCAACGACGATCTGCAGATCTCTTTGAAGCAGAAATTTTCAACCCCTTCCTTCCTTTCTTCTCTCTCTCTCTCTCACACACTCTCTCTTTCTTTTTCTCTTGCTCTATTTCTCTCTCATTCACCCTGCCGAATTATTTGCCTCCCCCTGTGAAAGACCAACGATTCAGCTTTCTTATTAATAACGATTACTCGTTGTTCTATGAAATAATAAAAATCTTTTAAAAATACATATAAAAGCGTAATGTATTATGAAATAAAAATAATATATCTACAAACAAACAAAATAAACATCCCCTTTAGAATGAAATTATTCATTATTTACTATCATAATATTTTTCTAATCTCTCTTCTTACGTTTATGTACTTCGCAAATGAAGTTCGTTACTCTCTAATCTTTATATAGAACAAGATATTAAACCTACATACACACTTTAAACGTTTTCCCGTATTCGCGTTTGGCAAGAACAATAATTAAGCTTTTCGTTTTGATACAACATTTCGTTGTTTTATGATACAATATAAATGTTTGGATACAGTCTGTATAATACTTATCATTCTTTTAACAGAGATATATAATAGCTACGAGAGTTAACGCACATGTCAGTATAACGATGCTAAATACTGTCTAATGAACCTATACGGGTAGTGGGTCTTTGATATAGTACTTCTACTTGTTTGATATAAAGCGGCAAACACAAGCCTATTTGAATTGTGGTTAACAGAATTTTGGTCCGTGCCGTGAACCTAACGAACCTTTGCCTCCTGTTATACTCTCGTAACGGTCGTACAGACATATTCGTGAATACATAGAAACGCGTGTTCACGTATATATTACGGAATTTCAATCCAAACATAGATATGATGCTTAGATAGTCGACGTTTATCTTGACGATTCATTAAATTATTGATTACTAATATTGCATATAATTCTAATTCGTTTGATCGTCTGATGTTTATTACCGTCTCTTCATAAAAATACAACGAAATAATGTGTACGAATAAAATATAATATAAAAGTATATGTTCAAATGTGTTACTTATTAGGCAGTTTATTATACAGTTATATCAAATTTTTTTCTTTATTGTCTAATTTTTATTATATTCTTTCTATTATAAGTAATTCTTCTTTTGTTTCAATTTTTTTTTCATTTTTTTTATTTTTATTTTTTTTTTTTTTTTAATGAGAATAATAGAAAATAAATCGCATTAAATAAATGTGCTTGAATTTCTAATTAACAATACTATTATACATTTTCGAATAAGTATTGATATTTATGGTATACACACGCACAAATATATACACACACACACATATATATAACGAAAACCAGCTAAAATCCCCTTAATCCTTTGCGGACGATGAACTCATATGTGCACTTACCATCAACGTAACGGTGAACGTTGATAGAAATTCAACGAAAATAATCGACGTTACCAGCATGTTTATATCAATGCATTTACATAAATAAATCTTTATATTTATTATTAAATTTTACAAATGTTTAAAATTGATTCTATATATATATATATATATATATATATAATATATTTTTATTCTTGAAAAATACTACAACGTTCTGTTTCGAATTACATTTTCCGCAAAGGGTTAAGCTGCTTAAAAGTTACTCGTGTTTCGGTTGAAAACACTTTTTGAGGATAAATTTATACTTCTCCCCCCCTCTCTCTGTCTCTCTCTCACACACACTCACTCTATATATATATATATCTATTTATCTATCTATCTTTTGCTTATACATACGAGTAGATATTGGCTTTCCATCATATCGTCTTACATTCATTTCAATTCATGCTTTGACTCTCTCAAAATGAATATTAACCATGAACATACCATCAAATACTGATCCATATAAAAAGAAAAATAATTCTAGAATTTGAAAATAATTTTCAAAATTCAACTTTTGAAATAAACTGATAATAATTTAAGATAGAACAAAGAAGTGACAATTTTATGCTTCAATTGAAGTATCAGATTTTTAAATATAGGTTTTTTTTTATTTTCTTTTTACTAAATGTTATTCCCTTGTAAAAAGAATTCTATTCCTTTTATTTTTTTTCTTCTTCTTCTTCTTCTTCTTCTTCTTCTTCTTCTTACAATTCACCTCTACGCGATACTTCACCGTTCATCAACACGATTCGTGACGACTTTAAAGAAGAAATCTCGAAGAAAGAATTCAAAGCACAGCTCGATGAGAATCCGTAATTAATGCGGCTTTTATCCAGATAACCGACTACGACGAATCGCGTTTGTAAAATGGATACGAAAAGCAAAGAGAGGAAAGTGAAAAAGAGAGAGAGAGAGAGAGAGAGAGGAAGAGAAAAAGATAAAATAAAAAAGAAAAAAATATTCCAGTTTAAATGATACATTGGTATATACATTATATATATATATATATATAAATACACGCATACACACACAAACATATATATATATATATATATTCATCTTCTAAAACCACGAGCGGCGTTCATTGAATCCCGTTGCGTTTGATGTTAAAACTTTTTTGCAGAATGTTGAATTTTGCAGAGAAATATTTTTCACCATTTACACACGTACAATTTATAAAACTTACAATTATTTCTCGTCAAGTTCGAGACTACGTCTTTTCATTTATTTATGTTTTAACGAATGAGTAAGTTCGGTTGAAATAATAAATATCGAAAAACGATTTTATAAGTACCATTTAATAATTATTCGTCTTTTAAAATAGACACATGATGAAAATTAATCAAATCTTTATATATTACTTCTGAAAGTACTCGTATATAAAAAAAAAAAAAAAAAAATATGAGAAATTAAAGAGCTGAGCATAGAACGAAAGTTTGTATTTCGAGATCAGCTTTTCGTATAAGCTCTACTCAAAAACTAAAATATACTTCTTGTTTTAAAAAGAAATTATTTTAGAAAAACATTTTCCCGAATGCATTTTCAAAGGATTTAAGATCTAAAAAAATTGCAAAGGAAGAGATTAAAGTATTTTCTTTTTTTGGATCTTTTTTTTTTTCCTTAATGCATTTAAATATCAACAAAATCGTAAATACCATGGTAACAATTAAGGCTCACAAGTTTGTCCTTAAGTTTAGGGGGAATTTCAGGCTAGCTTCTAGACTAGTTGTATCGACTTCCGTAGCAAGGGCTATGCGCTATTAAATAAATGGTATTAAGGGAATACGGCTTGAGTTCGGTACGGCTGATTAAAGTTCACGAAACTCGAAACCACTGGCCACTACAGTGATCTCATCGTCCACGCATTGGCCTGTGAGGTTTATGCTCTTAAAGGCTCAAACCTTCGATAATTCGTCCATATTCCTTGGTCATTCAATCTTCTTTGTCTTTATATTTTACGTTTGACCGAGTGAATCACGAAACGTGATCGGCTTACGTTAGATTGTTTTAGATCGATCGATAATTTTTTCTTTTACTGGTACAACATGGTTTCAAATAAAATATACCTATTATATGATACTTTTTTTCTTAACAAAGTTTAACACATTACTTACTAGTAGCAAATTAAAAAAATACATACAAAATATCCGTTCATATTAACTCGAATTCTTCTTCGGTAATACAAGGGGAGGAATGAAATAGTAATTTATAGCATAATTAATTCTACAAATTGTTAATGGTCATTAATAACAATATCCAATAAGCTAACATAAGAAAATAATTTCGTGTTTATTTGTTAGAAAAATAATATTATAAAATAAAGCATTGAAATATGTTAAGTAATGATAAATATGTAGATTTAATTTTACAGCTATCGGTCAATAAAAACTGACAGTGTAAAGCTTATACTGTAAGTAAGTAATGCGTTAAAATCAAGTTAACAAATATAGAAAAAAAAGATATAGTTTTTCATTTTGTGATTTAGCCGATATGTATAACATTAAAATTATTTATATAATCACATATTTACACGAGACAATTTATGTAATTTTATACAAAAGAAAAAGGCGAAATATACAATAAAAAAAAATAAAAGAAAAACTAAAAAAAATTTGTAAAAATTAATATAAATATCTGTACTATAACGTAATTATGGTAGTCTTACATAAAGGTCACAAATGTATGATACAAAATTCGTTATTATACGAATTAATTTTGACTAAGGCAAAACTTATAGCAAAGCTTAAGTACGCAGAAACCCTTGGCAGATTAATCGAGAGAAACCCTATCCCAACGAGTATGGTGACCGTTCGCTAACTCGACAAAGTTCAATCAGTCGGTAGGAAACACCTCTAACCCAACGTATTTAATGGCGTCTATCTTTGTACAAGCGATACAACTCGAAAGTCACATTAAAAGTTCGATTCCCCGTGCATTTAGATCGTTCACCACGATCAACCACCACAAGAGAGGGAGAGGCGTACTTTCGACTATAAGTTGTGTGGTATGCCGCGTATACGCGTGAACATCCCTTTTCGAATCGAGAAACTTCAAAGTATATTTACGAGATTAGATCTTTGTAGGAGGAAACTTTGAATTCGAGTGAATTTGATTTTGGTATATTTCGACGATTTTTCCAATCATTCTTTTTCATGAAAATTGATGAAAAATAGTCGAAACATTAAATGAACATCAAAAATTCATTGAAATCTATTATATTCGTATTACATTCTAAACGAAGTAATATCAATAATTATCAAAAAAAAAAAAATAAATAAATAAATTTATACAATTCTTCTTTCGATTGGGATATAATTGAAATAATTCGAACATTTTTAAATACATTCCCCGAAGAATATAACTTGCATAATTTTCGTTATTACCAGAAAATGTTCAAACTTACTATTCGAGTGAATCAAACACTGGGAAAAGTCAAATATTCAAAGTTCACTTCTACAATTCGATTAATTGCTAACAAAAGATGCAACTATGAAATTATTCCAATAGTCCCAACTGTAAACTAACCTTTGCTGATTGTTATTGGCCGAAGGCATAGGAGTTGGAACTCTGGGTGGTGGTACAGGTATAGCTTTCCGTCTTCCACCTCCAGCCGATTGATGAACGCTTGGAGTGACCCGACCAGTCGGTGCTATTCGACCGGCGGTCCGAGGCCTTTCTGTCTTAACTTCCGACATGTTTCTCTACCTTATCTGTGAACAGAAGAGAAAAAAAACAAAGAAAATTAAAAATTACAAAAAAAATTCTTTTCTCAAAGTATAAATCATTATTCGTATCTTATACGTATACGTTTACTAATACTGTCCTATATCGAACAGTAGCTACTACCAAGCTTGGTAGTCGCGCATTACCGGTGAAAAAACGAAATTATTACGAGACGCATTAGCAGTAACAGAGTCGGCGGCGGCTCTAGCGACAGTAACAGCGACATCAGCATCACCAGTAACAGTAACAGCAGCAACAGAAGCCAGCAATAGTAGTGGTACACTGGTGGTGGTAGCGGAGAGACATAAAAGTGCCATTTTCCCCGTCACTCAAAAGGCCAGGCCGACATCACAGGGAGAACGACAATAAACTTCGAAAGAAACTATATCCCGGACGTCGCGTGCGCTAGGCTCTACCTCGAAAAGTACAAGCGTAACAAAAAAGACAGAATGAGAAAGAGAAAGAGAAAAGAAGAGAGAAAATGTAGCAGAAGATAGGAGGATAATACCAGACTGAGAAACGTCGAAGCTTCTGCTTCGCTGAAATCTTTCTATCCCGTTCGTTTCCATCCCCCTCCCTCTCCCCCTCCCCCCAACCCAACCCCCTCACTATTCCTCTCCTCTCACCACCTTTCGCCCTTGTCTGCTGCTACTTCTCATTAGACCGACCTTGATCGTTAGCCTATGTTTTATTTGCTCTCATTATTTTTACCGTTATTACTTTTATTGCCGTCACCGTTCGACTTCTTTTTCTTCTCTTTTATTTCTTCATCTTCTTCTTATTCCCTTCCCCCCCCCCTCTTTCCCACTGTTACTGCTACTGTTGTTGTTATCGTCATTATCGTTATTACTATCGTTGATTGTTATTATTATTATTATTATTATAATTATTATTATTATTGTTATTACTATATCGAGAAACAGAAAAACAGACAGACAGAGATATGGAGAGAAAGAAAGAGAGATACATAAAGTCGGCATTAAAAAAGAGAAAGAGAGAGAGAGAGAGATTCCCTATTGAAAGTCAATGAAAAACGAAACGATCGTATCTCCGTTACTTTGCCGTCACGAATGATTTATTCCCCGCTGACTTTAATAGGGTGGAAGAGTCATTCTTCCCACCGATAAAAAGGCACAGACATCAAATGAAGCGCGATCCGTGCGCGTATAGTCGCGTAATTAAACGCGAGCTCCCGTGCCATCACCCTTCTACCACCACTACCACCACCACCTTCTCCTCCTCCTCCTCCTCCTCACGCTCCGTCTTTATCCCTCTCTTTCTCCTCTCTCTCTCTCTCTCTCTCTCTCTCTCTCCCTCACTCTCTTCTTTCTGATTTACTTTAATAAGAGAACCACACAGAATATCATCTAGTCTGCGCTCTGATAAGTAAAAGTAGCATAAAAGTTGGTGTTCAACACGCTCTCAAGCATATGCACGTACACATCCATCCACACACACACACACACACACCGACACATATGATGGAAGCAATGAACGTACCGCGTTCGCGTAACGGAATTTCAATTAATGATTTGCCATACGTCAGACTACCGTGAACCGTTTCAATGAGTACTTTCAGAAGACTCAGCCACCAAAGTCGCTCCTCCCTCGATTTAACCCCCACCTACACCCACCCAACCACCTTTCTCCACCTTCTCTAGCAACCACCAACGAACGACTTCTCCGCCGCTCTTTCTCAATTTTCCCTCACGCTGTCGAGTACGCGAAAGCTTCAGAACTCTGAACCGAATGATTCGGTCCTATGGGATATTCGGTGTTTCCCTTTCCCCTCCCCCTTTTCTTTCCTCTCTATCTCTTTCTCTTACTTTTTTTTCTTTCATTTTTTTTTTTTTACTCTTTTCCCTTCAACGAGGCTACATCATATTACTCGTCTACCTTTACGCAAATTCGCATTCGAAATTAGCGAAGGATATTCAATGGTGTGAGATAGGAGGAAAAAAAGGAAAAAGGGAGTGGGGAAAGGTGAAACCATGCGATCGTATTACGATCGATTTCGCATCCTTTTGACTCTTCATGTCCCTCAGGCATTTCCGAGTTTTTATTCCTAACTTTACTAAAGAAAAAAAAAAAAAAAAGAAAAAAAAAGAGAAAAGTTCCAATAAAATTCTTTTCCTCACGAAAAAAAAAAAAACAGAAAGAAATAAAAGAAGTTAGATAAGCAAGCGATTTAAGAAATGTTTTGCTATTAAAGGATTAGATTTCTCATTTGGAACCGATTTATAGGTATATCGGTATGTTTCAATAGTTACTTATACATGTACAAATTTTGATTATCTTTTTTATTATTTGTCGATGAAAATTCAGCGAACTCTAAAAAGTTTTCAGCACGAGCAAGAAGTCAAGAAGATACGAGGAGAGGGTAGGCCCTTTAAATTCACAGAAAACTTTTCGAGCGATTCGAATCGAGGGGACTCGAAAGATCTCACGGAAGAGGACCTGAGCTTGAGGAAAGGAATTTAAAATTAAAAAAAAAAAAAACACACACACACAGGAAAAAGAAAGAAGAAACCAAGGAAACACTTATCCACACCATACATTCGCGTAACACGCACTTTTTAATTTACGTTAGACGAATGCTCGTTAACTCGTTCATGTATATACATATATTTATATACGTACATGTATACGTATGTGTACATATATAAAAATATATTCGTATATTCTCTTCTTAGTAGTTTGTATAACGAGAAGGTAAGCTTGAAGATTGAAGGGAGATGTGGAAAATGCCCCCAAAAAAGGACGAAAGAGGAGAAAATGCAACGACTACTCCTTCTAAAGGCAAGCACCGTGACGGATACTTGTGCCCCTCTCGTGGGATCCATTCTTCGAAATTCGCCGGATTACGTTGCCTTCTTCAACCTGCTGGAAGAAATGCAAGTACCTAACTCGTGCAAGTTTTAACGTAATCTTTCTTATATACGATTTGTACCTGTTGCAAGAGCAACGAAGATAAAACACCAAGAAGAAGAAGAAGAAGAAGAAGAAGAAGAAGAAGAAAAATGAAAAAAAAATCTACGGTTAAAGTTTCGGAAATGATGCACATTACAAAAATTATATAAATAATTTCACTCCGAGTCATATTGGAAAAAAAGGATGAAAACAAATTTATAAGAGTGGAATAAAAAATTAAAATTGTTTCATGCGAATATAAAAAAAGAAAGAAAGAAAGAAAGAAATTAATTCGATCGAACGAGTAGTCACGAAGTTAATTGCATTTATCAACGTTAAGTAGTTCCTTGCGAAAAAGCAATTAACGCTAATCATATTTTCTTTATAGAAGATCGTTCTTACCGATAAAGAGAGCATCTCTTGAAAGGAAATATCAACGACGATGAGAGTAAGCTCTCAACGTCGATTAAATTGTAATCTGATGAAATTCATTATGCGGCTTGTTAACTTTAACAAAATCCTCGAGTAATAGGTTTATCGATTTAAACGAAATATTATCATTTTATATTATCAATATAAACGACTAAGTACTTGTTTGGATTCAATTCGAATAAATCTAACTCTTTCAAATTGTTCTACGAATAATTTCAAAAAGAAACAAAATAATAATAATAATACAGAAATCATCGTCGCTTCATTGAAGGTTTACCAAAGATAAGAAAACAAAAAGTGAGGGAAATAGAAAAGGATGATGACGATAAGGGACAAGCAGGAGACAATATTACGACGTCGTTAGGTGGGATTATTATTTTGCAGTTTAAATGCAGAGGAATCATCGTGTATGAGAATAACACGACAACACGAGGAGAAGATGGAGAAAGAATAACACAAAAAAAGTACAAGAACAAAAAGAACGGAGAGTACAACAATGTGCGTTGGGAAGTCGGTTAAAATCCAAGCAGGTTCCCGATGTTTTTCCAGTACTCATTTTACGAGCGAGTCTGTATTTCTCATTGCGTGAATAATATCCAAGATTGCGTTAGACGTATATATATATATATATATACATGTACCGCGAAGTAAAGGGAAAAGGAAGAAAAATACAAAAAGAGAAAGAGAGAGAGAGAGAGAGAGAGAAAAGGCAAGTAGGAGACACAAGGGTCGAAATGGGTCGTAGGGTGGGTGAATGATACAGAGAGACGAAGGGAAACGAAACAGATTCTTCCTGGCGGCAATGGCGAATACAATAAGGGGCATCTGCTTAGCAAATTGCAAAAAATAATGACGTTTGCACGAATAGGAGATGCGTCAACGGCTTTAGTCGAGAAAGATAAAGAAAGAAAAAGAAAGAAAGAAAGAAAGAGAAATATAGATAGATAGATGCTGGAAGCTGTCATATTCCATAACACAATAACGCGTCTGTGTGTAATCTCTTTCTCTCTTTCTCTCGTGGAACGACAAACACGTCGTCGGTAGGAGGAAAACAAGGCGCTCGTAGAGTGTGCGAGAGAAACGAGGGGAAAAAAAAAAGAAAAAGCTTTGTGGAAAAGTTAGAGGATGAGGGTGGTGGTAGGTAGTGGTGGTGGTGGTGGTGGTGGATAAAAAATAATACAAACGCGAAGGTCCTTCTTTTCTTTTCCCGTGTGTATCACTGAAACAATGTAACGCGCACGAAAGGGTGAGACGACCACGATCGTTTCTCTTCGTCCTGCATTGAAGATAGACAGAAGATATGTGTATACATGTATATATGTGTGTTTGCGTGTGGAATGGGAGAAAGGGATAGAGCAATCCATACGACGAGGTTGCTTTCGTCCGTCCGACAAATTCCGGGGAAACTTCCTTTATCGTTTGAAACTCCCGCGAAAGACGCGCTATGAATGCGTCTTCATCAAGAACGCTCAAAAACAGAGAGACCAGACTTGAGCTTCTCTTTATCATTTTTCCTTTTTCTCTCTTTTCTTTTTCTATTTTTTTTCTTTTTTTTTTTTTTTTTTGGTTTTATGTTCAAAACGATTGTCGGCCGACATGCCGGCGTATATTAATTATTACTTCCTACATC